AACAGAACTTCAAGAACACGGCCACACAGCCCGGAAGACCCACACCAGCCATCGTATGCTGGCCGTGAAAGCCTTCGACAATACATCAAACTGACAACTGTTTCTCCAGAAGATGGTGAAATTGGGAGGTCTTTTTTGCGGGGGGGGAATGCTTTTAGTGGGCTATCATCTACTTCCACTGATGCGAGCCCCCATCCCGGCCCCCAGGCCATCTGGCATAGCCAGGATTTCACGCTCTTCCTGAAGGCCATGAGAGTAGGGGCACACCGCACCTCGGGTGGTAGGATGTTCCACAGAGTGGGGGCCACAGCAGAAAAGGCCTTCTTCCTAGATCCCACCAGATGAAATTCCTTGACTGGTGGGGTCTACAACATGCCCCTTCTGCTGGACTGAGTGGGGCGGGCTAAAATAACGGGTGAGATGACTCCTCAGGTAACCTGGTCCTGTGCCATGAAGGGCTTTAAAGGGCTAAACCCACACCTTGAATTGGACCCGGAAGCAAACCGGCAACCAATGCAGCTTGCGTAACTGTGGTTTTATATGAGTCCCCCTGGGGGCATTCAGAATTGTCTGCGCCACTGCATTCTGCGCCAGCTGTAGCTTCCGGATACTCTTCAAGGGTAGCCCATTGCAGTAATCCAACTGGGAGGTGACCAGGGCATGAGTAACCATGCAGAGGGACTGAGGAAGGGGCGTAACTGGCGCACAACACGAAGTTGTGCAAAGGCCCTCCTAGCCACAACTGCCACCTGCTCTTCAGACAGGAGTCGTGAGTCCAGGAGGACCCCCAGATTACACACCGGGTCTGTCTGGGGTAGTATGACCCCATCAAGAACCAAAGATGATAAATTCCTAGATCTTGAGGCTCCCTGTACCCATAGCCACTCCGTCTTACCAGGGTTCAGTTGAAGCCTGTTGTCCACCATCCAGGCCCCTACAGCCTCCATGCACCGCAAAAGGGTAGCCACGGCATCACTTAAGGCACCCGGGATGGAGATATATAATTGAGTATCATCAGCATACTGATGATGCCTCATCCCGTGGTGCCAGATGACCTCACCCAATGGTTTCATGTAGATGTTAAATAGGAGTGGCATGAACACCAAGCCCCAAGGCACCCCACAAAGTAGGGGCCAAGGGTTGGACCTCTCACTCCCTATCAGCACCGATTGGGTTTGGCCTTGGAGAAAGGAGCTGAACCAGCACAGAACTGTGCCACCCAGACCCAACTTCTGCAGCCGACCCAAAAGAATACCATGGTCGATGGTATCAAAAGCCGCCAAGAGGTCAAGAAGAGCAAGGATGGATGCACTCTCCCCATCCTGCTCTCGCCAGAGATCTAAAAGTGCGACCAATCCTGTTTCTGTCCCATAACCGGGCCTGAATCCTGACTGATAGGGGTCCAGATAATCCATTTCCTCCAGGATCCTCTGAAGCTGCCGCGTGACCACATTTTCTACCACCTTCCCTAAAAAGGGGAGATGGGAGACTGGACGAAAATTGTCCAGGAGGGTGGGGTCTAGCGACGGTTTCTTGAGGAGAGGGCGGACCAAAGCCTCTTTGAAAGGCTTCGGGAACACGCCCTCCTGCAAGGATGAATTAACCACCGCCAGGACCCACCCTAAGGTCACCTCCTTGGTGGATCTAACTAACCAGGAGGGACACGGATCTAAATCACAGGTGGTCGCACTGACAGCCCTGAGGACCCTGTCCACTTCCTCAGGGACAACAGGATCAAACTGTTCCCAGATAACTGGGTAAGACTGTTCCCTGGGCATCTCCACTGGACCTCCAACTGCAAATGGATCGGAGCGATTTTATCCATCAGGTGTTCAGCAAATTCCTCTTCACAGTCCTGTAGATAGTCCTCCGAGCCCTCCCTACCCAGGAGGGATTGAGGGACCCTGAACAGGGCTGCTGTGCGACACTCTGAGGATGCAATAAGAGTGGAGATATAATGACGTTTTGCCACCCTTACCGGCACTAGGTAGGCCTTAATAACAGCTGTAACCTGTGTTCGGTCGGACTTGTCTTTAGTTTTCCATCAGCGGCGCTCAAGATGTCTCTTGGCCCTTTTCAGCTCCCTTAACTCCTCCATAAACCATGAGGAGTGCCAGGGGCGATGGGCCAAGAGAGGCCTCATGGGTGCAATCCTATCCAAGGCCCCAGCCGCCTCCTTATTCCAGGCTGCAGCCAGGGCCTCTGCTGGACCATGCAGCAAGGCCTCAGGAACAACCCCCAGCTCCCTTTGAAACCCTTGCAGGTCCATCAGTCGCTGGGGGCAGACCGTTCGAATAGGTCCCACCTGCCTGCGGAGGGGGGCAGCATAGGAGAATCGCAAGGCCACCAGGGAGTGGTCTGACCATGACAGAGGGGATAATATCAAATCCCCCATCAGATCACGCTGCCACTGCTCTGACAAGAAAGCCATGTCTGGGGTGTGACCACTGTCCCGAGTCAGGCCATAGATGACCTGGGATAGGCCCATGGCCGCCATGGTAGCCATGAACTCCCGAGCTGCCTCCAAGGCCAATCCCAGGGATGGCAGATTAAAGTCGCCCAAGACCACAAGCCTGGGGAACTCCACTGCCAACCCTGAGTTGGCCTCCAGCAGCTGAGGCAGGGAGGTTGCTATGCAGCAAGGAGGCTGATACTGAAGTAACTCTCCCAGCTGATCCTGTGTGCCCAGCCTCAGGAACAGGGTCTCAGCCACTTGTGGAGCAGAGCCCCTGAAGGTCCACAGAGATTCCCAGATGACCACTGCCACGCCCTCTCCCCTGCCCTGGGGTCTCGGCTGGTGCCAAACCCTAAACCCGGCCGGACACAATCCCGAGAAGGCTACCCCCCCCCCTGGGTCCAGCCAGGTCTCGGTGATGCACGCCAGGTCAGCCTGCTCCTCCCCAATAAGGTCGTAAATAAGGGGGGGCCTTATTATTGACTGACCTGGCATTCAGCAGCAACAGACAAAAGCCCGGGCCTCTGTAGGCCTGCTGACCAGGGTCTGGGCTTGAGCCCAGAGGGCCAGAACGTGCCACCGGTATAACACATCGGGGGTGTCTTCCCCTGAAATGGCCTGCCCTCTGGCTTGCATCATAAAGTCCCATGCCTGTCACCACCCGAATACCTGCCCTGAATCGCCCAAGGTGATCCTCCACCCACCCTCCTGGCCTCTGACCTAAGGGGCCTGCCATACCACAAACCATACAGGGCGAGAGGGGAATATGGAGGGGGAGAATGAGCCCCTGTGGCACTTCAGCTATCTGCTCTCAGCGGCAACAGTGCTCAGTCACCCCAACTCCCCCTTCCCTAACACGCTCCCTCTCTCAACTGGCCTCTCTCAGTAGCCGGTGAGAAGAGGGCCACGTCCACTCCTACCCTCTTACTGTCTCCCACCTGGGCAGAGAGTAGCACATTCATCCAACATCCACGCACCCCACACCAACACACCCCACAACAACTCCAGTCCCCCTGGCCTCTTCTCTGGGGGTAAGGGAAGCCCCCTTGCCATGTTAGGGGCTAGAGCCTGGAACCCCCAAGGTCCTAATGTCTCTGTGGGTTTTGGGTACTGTGGGCCTTCGGGCTCTGGCCTCGGCTCCACCGTCGCAGTCGGGTCCGCCTCAGCCTCGCCCCTGGTGCTCCCATCGCTGCTGTCCTGCCGCCGTCACCGGTGCTCTCACTGCTGGTGCGGCTGCCGAAACTAACAGCGTTGGGCTTGGGCCTTAGCTCTGCAGACATTTCTGGCCCAGCTGGACTGACTCTCAACTCCGTCGTCACCACACTCGGGCCTGGGCGTTGTTCCCTGTGCGTAGCTGGGGAATTCTGGGGGTTGAAGTCAACATGCCTTCAAGTTGCCAAGCTTGAGAAACGCTGATCTAAACTGATGCATCTTGGCAAAAATGCCTAACTTTACCTGCATATTAATGGGATTTGAGCTGTGTAACCCAGAAAAAGATCTTGGGGTCATAGTGAATAACTCACTGAAATTTCAATCCAGTCTGTGGCAGTGGTGAAGAAGACATAGGCCAAGTTAAGGATCACTAAGAAAGGGACTGAAATTAGCCTAGCTGTTCTTGTAAAACAGTTGCTACCCACAAAGCTGCCTTATATTAAGTCAGATCATTTACCTGCTTACTTATTTTACTCTATCTGTATCTCTCCTTTTCTCCAAGGAGTTCAATTTCTATTCCCTCATCTGTTTTACATCCATAACAACGTTGTAATTAGGCTGAGAATATGATGGGCCCACAATTATCCAGTGAACTCCAGTGAAGCTATATCTCTCTAGTCATGGTGCAGCATTTGGGATGTGCAAACAACATCTGGATTTGGGTTCTCCATGTCCAAACTGATACCATGGGTATCAGTCTCTTGACCAAACAAAACAAAAGCTGTTTTGTTCTGAATATGGACCAAAACCTGGTTGTTCCTGCCAGAAATGGTTTGGGGAGTGGTTGTCGTCATTAAGTGAATCCCACGCCATCATTAGGTGCAACATCACATGGCCACCATTTGTGACCTCCTGCCAGCTTCTCTATTGATTTTGCTTGTCAGAAGCTGGCAGTGAAGGTTGCAAATGGCGATCATGTAACCACAAGGCGCTGCAACATAATTGTGAGCCAGTTGCCAAGTGCCAGGATTGCAGTCATGTGACCATGGGGACACTATGAGGAATGGTCATAAGTACCACTTGTTCAGCACTGTCGTAACTTCAAATAGTTGCTGGATGAGTGGTCGTTAAGCAAGGACCACCTGTAGTTTGTTTTCTATTAAATATCATTTTTGTTTCATGCACTTATTCAGCACTCTTACCTATGTAAACTTGGCTATCCAGAATAGTTTAATCTTAACTTACATTGCCAACTCAAGATCACCCAGGAGATAATAGTTTAGTATAGAAGTCTTAGATTATGACGCTTGCTCTTACTTTTTACCATGTACATTTTAGAAAATCATGAATTCAGTTTTAAGAAATTGAAAGTGTAGATATTTGGTTAAATAAAAATGGATTTAGACTCTAGAATACTTTTTTCTTTAAAAAAAGTAATATATCAACATTTCTAATTCTTGATGCTTTTAATAATATTTACTTATTATTAGAGCCAGTTTGGTGTAGTGGTGTAGTATAGCTGGCCTAGAAACCAGGAAACTGAGTTCTAGGTTTTCCCTAGATGTGAAAGCCAACTGGGTGACTTTGGGCCAGTCCCGATCTCTCAGCCCAGCCAAACTCACAGGGTTGTTGTTATGGGAAAACAGGAAGTGGGAGCATTAGGTATGTTTGAGTTGACCCAATAGCTTTATTTTGAAAGGGCAGGATAAAAATATAATAATAATAATCACATCAGTCAATTGCAAAAGGCAACTTTACTTGGAACAGCTTACATCCTACAATACCTTTAACACCATCAAACAATAACTTCTGCCTGCCCCAGTCCTTGGGAAGGACTCGATACATGAATAAAAATGCCAAATCCAGTTTAAACATCTGGCTGACTGTGCGACCAACAATAACAATATATTATTGTTATTTAATATTAAACACCAGGTACCATTTATGCATATGTTGCTACATAAAGGGGAGGATGGGTTCCTGCCTGAAAGGATTTGCAATCTAATATCTCTGCTTCCCTCTCTCTCCTTTCTGATGAAGACCTAAACAAAGCATGTGGGAATGCTATCGACGCCCACGAGGCAGCGCAAATGCACCAGAACTTTTCCCAGCAGCTGCTCCAGGACCACATTGAGGCCTGTAGCCTCCCAGAGCACAACCTTATCACTGTACGTTGGCTTCCCCTTTCCAAATATTGGGTGTATTTTTTCTTTCTTGCCCTTTCTATATGCCAACCTGAGTGTGTGCCATTGGGGGGGGAAGCAGAGGGTTCCAGGGAAAAGATACTCTGTTCCCTAGCTGCTCAGGTTTAATATGGCAGTTATTCAGATTGTTAATTATTGAAACCTGCAAAGGCTGGGAGTAGGTGGGACATTGTGGGCATACTTTTCCCTTTCCTGATTTTTCCTCTAGCCCCCTCGTATGTATGTATGTATGTATGTATGTATGTATGTATGTATGTATTTATTTATTTATTTATTTATTTATTTATTTGTCACGTTTATATGGCCGCCCATCTCACAGAAAGCAGCGTGTAATAGGCAATGCTTAAGGAGTACAGAAAGCAGCAGGGTGGTCCTGTGCTGTTAGTAAAACAGCACATTTTTGGCTTTTGGTGGAAAGGGTTTAAAGATGGAGATGGAAGCAGGAGGCCATTTTTAGAGTTAAGGGTAGATATGGGGGCGGGGCTCCCCATTTTTATTCACATCTTTAAAACACCCCCCAAAATGGGCTGAAGTCACACCACCAAAACTCAGTCATTTTGCCTCTGAATTTTGGTGGCACAGTCTACAACTGTATCTTTTTGCCCGCTTGTATATTTTTTCAAGTTCTGCCTTTTAGGTTGCATCCATGGCTCAGCTGACAAGTTTGTCTCCATGGAAAGTGGGCTGCATGCAAGGGTTCTGCACAGCAACCATGCTGGAGAGTGGGCCGTCTGTGCACTAAGGAGCATGGAGAGTAAAAATTGTTAGAGATTTTTTAAAAAATTATTGGAAACTCTAATCTAAGTACATTGCTTATTTTCTAATCATCATAATATTATAAACAGGTTTATAGCTTTGGTAAAGATCATAGTGCCTCTTGGAACGTGTTTGTTTTGGTTAAGAAAACAAGCCAAAGCTGTTGATCTAATTTCTGGATCTTATGTTCTCTTCCAGGTGTTCGTTTTTTTCCTTTTAGTGTGATTAATTGAAAGGCTTTTACCATAGGTTTATTTAACAACATTTATATGCTATCCTCCAACCATTGCTTCCTTGTGAGATGGGAGGTGTCTAAATTTGAAATATAAATAAATGATCAGGACAGCCTTTTGTATAAAAAAAATTAATGAGTAAATGATACAGTGAAATCCAGCATTATAATAATTGCAGCAGAGTAAATAAATATATAGCTCACGGCAGCAAAATGTTGCAAAGCTCTAAAATTCACCAAATGTGAACAATTTAAAGAGTACTTGGTGGGAAGCTTAAAAACCACCGCCTTTATTTATTTATCATTTTGAAATTTTGGGTCATGTTTTTGGGGGGTGTTGGTTGAGATCTCTGTCTAGTTGAAAAGTAGTATACAAATTTGAGTAAATAAAATGACGCACCTTAATCTCCTTTTGATTAATTAAGCAATAGAGTAGAGTAGGGTAGTAGAGTAAACTGGGGTCAGGTAACAGGGCCATCTAGGTATTGTTGTTCTAACCTTGGTCAGTGCTAGCAAGCACAGCAATGATGAGAAATCATGGCAGTTGCAGTGTGGGGCATTTGCATGTTGCCCATTCCTGCTTTAAAGCTGTGCTCAAATATTTCTGCAACATAGACTGTTTAAAACTTAACATTTGTTTTGAAAGCCATATCACATGGTCAGCTGAACACCATGTACCAGTCAATAATCTCCATCTACTTCTTTGTTTTTTCCTGCCTGCAGTGGACAGATGGGCCCCCACCAGTACAGTTTCAGGCACAAAATGGACCCACCACCAGCCTGGCCAGTCTGTTGTGAACATGCCGTCTTCACTTGGGAAGAGGATGGAATCTTTTTATACACTCAGCTTTTTTTAAACAAAAGGATGGGCAGCAAACACTTCTCCAAGCCCTGTAGGAGTTGCATTGAGGTTACATTTCATAGACTCACAGTTTGGCATGGCCATTCTGAGCTCCTTTTTAAGGTTTGTGTGTGTGTGTTGGTCACCTAGGTTGCAGGGATCTGTGTGTAGGTAAACACATACACAGTGTTGTAAGAGGCATCCCTTCCTATTTCTCAGAATCTGGTTTTACATGATGCAGATAAACAAGTGCCCCTTCAGTTAAGAAGATGCGTTTAAAAGAGAAAGAAAAAGAAAGCAGCCCCTATAATGAAGGAAAGGAGTCAGTATAGTTAGGTTGGGACGGAAAAGAAAAAGCCATGCCTGCTTCCTTGCTAATTAAAACTGCCCCTGAAAATGCCATGTGCCTATATTTTTATAAAGGCTCTGTTGCCCTTTGTATTATCCAAGCTGCTAGATTTGCTTCTTGAGGACACTTGCTCTACAAATACCTATAGTGGGCGCATCTTTTACTACATAGCATAGTCCCCGCTCTCCTGCAGGAATTGTTCTGCCTCTGTTTGCTCACCTTATCATGGAAAGAACCCAGCAAAATGGTAAAGTAAAATGAGAGGCCTTTCCTTCATTAGGCCACTTCAGGGAACTTGTGCTCTGCATTCTTGAGAAATATGGGAATCCATATTGGAGCAAAGCTTACAGTAATCAGCCTCTTGTTAGTGTTTAAGTGCCTGTTTGGTTTCTTAAAAGGTACATGCCTTTCCTCCAGGAGATCCTTTTGTTTTTCCTCAAGACACTTCACCAATTTGGGTAAAATCAGTGATTTGCCATTTTCTCTTTTGGGAAGGTGACAAGACCTTTACCCCTCTCTTCAACTCTTGGGTCTTGAGGAGTTGGAAATAAGGACCAATGGAGGCTTGGACTGTAAGCTGGCCTGATGTGGATTCGTGCGATTGGTTTGATTGATGTGCTGCGGTCGGGTCTTCCGAGACTCTCGCAGAAGCGTAGAAAGTTGTATCAGGCACTGAATTCAGCTTCTGAGAATCTCGGCATTCAGGATTTTTTTAACAAGAAAGCTTTTAGCCCATAATAGCTGCAAAATTACACTTGAAGGGATACGGGAGATAACTTCCAACATCACAGACTCAAAAAGGGAAGCTTGAACAAGTTTTCCAGTGATTGGGATAGAAATTCTGTGCCCTTACCCTTCCCACAGCTAGCAAAATGAACATATGCAAAATACCTAATTTGGATTATTATGCAAAATGATTATGCAAATGACTTCATTTGCATAAATTACGTTACACTAGAATCCAGCTTTTCCAACTACAGAACTTTTTATTATTTTACTTTAAGGCAGGGGCACAACCCTGCTTCTCGTGTGATATGTGTGTGTCCATTTTAAAAGGAAATAGTTTATCTTGTTACTAGTTGAAGTGAATTCTTAATCATGGATTTTTATCAATATTTATCATCCAAAAGTTACAACCAATATCCCCTAATCATGCGCTTTTGATACTTTCAGGAATGATGCAATCCAGTTCCCTTCTGAAGTAGGTTGATGTGTAAAAAGAAAGTTGTTTATAACATATTGAAGGAGAAATAGGGGAAGGAAAGTACAGGATAAGAAGTAACTAAAAGAACTGAAAGAGGAAGAACTGGTATTGTTAAACTTTAATTTTCTCTATTATTTGGAATGTATGCCTGTTTGTAGCATTCCTTAACAGATACTGGCAAAATACAGTCTCCCTCCCTTTTTTCTTCTCCCTAAGAGAATAGCAACAAATGCTTGTTATCTCATGTCAGCACAGACTGAACATTTACTTACTCCTGATGAAATGCACTGTGTGAGATTTGTTCCATATTTTGGATCCTTAAAAAAAAAAAATCTGCAAGGCCCCTCTCACATGCCCTAGTGCATTTAGGATAAAAAAAAGCTCTGGAGTGCTAAAAAATGTAGGCCTGGGGTGGGTGGGGAAGGTGTCAAGAAGCAGGTGGATCTGTACAGTGAGATACCTTTTTCAACAAGCTGTTCTCCCGATTTTCCCACTGCATCTTTAAGCTAGATGTAAATAAAGCTGGGTCAGAAGGCTGGAAGCTTAATTTTTTTACAAATCATGTGTGAAAATGGATTTATCCCCTCCCGCCCCCCATTCATAATGCAGGGATGTCTGTTATCCATATTCTTAGGCTCTCTTCTCCAGACCATATATAGTTGAGGGACTAAAGCTATGTATTTTCCAATTGACTGATTCTTTTTTCTCTTCTTCCCCCAACTCTTCCTTCCTAAGCAGTATTCAGCCCGCAGAAAAGAATTACTAGTGCATACGTAGTCAAGATTTGTATTTAGAAAAGGTTTTCTTTCTTATATTAAACCAAAAAGTAAAAAATATTCCTTACAATAACGATGCACTTCCTTACTAACAAACCTGGACAAACCTTTGAAAATGGATAGGACCGTAAGGGGCCTGATCTGAAATAGTCCTGATGGATTGAATCTAGCTCTCAGGATGCTAGTGGGCTGTCTTTGTTAAAATACATGTACCTCATTTCCTTCCCAGCCCCTTCCCAAAGAATATACCCCTTGATACACCCTGTCCTATCTTCCTAGAAATCTACATTTTAGCTCATAGAGGGTGGGCGATTAGATCATTGAACTTGTGATTTTGCACAGTTGAAATATGGAGTCTGCCAATGCACGTGTGAGTTCTTGCTGTTCACACTTCTGAGACACCTGCAGCTGTTCATTAACACTCTTTATGAAACAGTTCTTTTTATGTACTTAAAATGTGCTTTAGTAAATTTGTACAGTTTTGTCTTTTAGCCTTTTCCAAAAAGTGTTTAATCTTTCTTAACAATGATGTGTAAACATAAAAAATGTACAGGGGAGTACAGTTTTTGTCTTGTTTCTAGGCAACTTTCTTCCTAGTCCAGGGTGGGAAAATGTCTGTGGGAAGCATATTTTGAATTCTACACAGAATTGTGGATAGGCCACTAAAGGCAAGAGTTATTTAGAATTTCATCTTAAAAATATTTTTATAGTATAGTTGTACAGGTGTGCAAAAAAAGAGGAATAGAAAGAAAGAAAATTGTATCCCCAATTAGAGTAGAGTAAAATGCTGGTCTTGTGCCGATAGCATCTTGCTGAGTTTGCTTTTGTTTCTCCTATCACTTGGCCTGATCGAGACTTGCTTACATACTTTTTGTCAAATTTTAGTGGTTCAAAAAAAAAAAAGTATTACCAAATTGTGCAGGGGAAGGGGAAATAGTCTCAGGATGCCACCATTACTACTTTTGAAATTGACAGCAGTTTAAAAAGAACATTTGAAGCAAATACCACCATTGGAATAATATAGATCTTAATATGTCTGAAAAAGTACCATTTGTTTGGGCTGTCTGTATCCTGTAACAAGCAGGTTGCAGCAGGAGATGACATCGATTGGGCTTGTCTAACTTTGTACTTTCCAGATGGGCAACTCTCATTATCTCATGCCAGCACATGACCACGTGGAGCCAACCCATTCTTTCCCCCTCTAAATTATTACTGTGAGGGGTTTCATTACATGGGTAGTGGTTACTATGTTCTGAAAGGAGGATTGTTTTTCTCCCCCAAATAGTTTCCGTTTATTTATTTATTTAAGGGGGGTCAACTTAAAAATCCTGAGAATACAGTAACAGGTGTTTTTTTTTTTTTGGTTATCCAGTCTTATGGGGACCAGTGGCAGCTTTCCAGGGGAATAAGCTACGCTTTCCTTAAAATCTTATTCTCAGTTTCAGTTGGGAACTTGAAGGATGCACGATGCACAGGGAATTTGTGACTGTTCCACTTTGGGCTTCCACAGAAAAATTTCCTTCTCCACCCTTGTTGCTGCTTTGTCTCCATACGAAATCACTCAACCGCTGCAGTGCTGACAAACTCAGCTGCTTTTGTAGAATCATGGCCGGCTGCCTCTTATCCTGGAGAGCAGTTTTGTAGCAGCCATGGCACAAGGCCGTAAATAGTGTGTTTGATCCCTTTTTAAGATGACCAAACACCTATAACTTGCCACAATTCAGCAGGAAGGAATTCCTTTAGTCTTCAAACTCTCATTGTTCAAAGTCTCTGGATTTTGAGAGAACACTGGAAGATGAGGTCAGTGAGGATGGAAGTGTTTATTCTTTCCAGTTGCCACTATTGCATGCTTCCTGACGAGCTAGCTACCATCACCACGAAATCTCTTTCGCTCACTATCCCAGCAACATGAAATAAGTTTAGATTCCCCCCAATACAGTATGTCACTTTAACACTTCCAACCAAGCAAGTATTATACTGGGGAGAAATTGCATCTGCTATTTTCTTGCCCTCCCCGTTTGGAAAATTCATTTGGAATCCTTTTTGTAGTAGTTTTAAGGCCCTAGATAATTTGGGGCCATCCATAGTCGCTTTCTTGTGGAAGTCGATGAGACGGTAAAAGGGGGGGGGAATAGAGTAAGGTGTGAATTCAGAGTACCGTATGCTGTGGTAAAGCTTGGATCTTTCGTGTCCCGCCCCCTGCCCCTTCTCATTGGCCTCTCGTCACCGTCCGAAACTTCATTGGCGGAATAACTTGGGTCATCAACGAAAGATAGCAAATCAAAGTGAAGGCGACAGACTAGCGAGCTAAATGGGCGTTGCTTGAACCAGGCGCGAGAAGATGGAGGCAGTTGCGGAGGCGGTGCGAAGAAGACAAGGAGAGGATGGGCGTGGCCCAGGAATGGACGAACTCTGAGACAAGGCGTGGCTTGATCGGTGGAGGGCTGACCTAGAAGGAGAAAGTTGAAGAGGAAGGGGGCGTTTCGACGGACGGATCCCCCTCGAGACGTGACAAGAGGCGTGGCTCCAAACGACCAGCGGGGGAAGGGGCGTGGCACTAAAGAGGGCAGCGAACCTCCGAAGAGGTGTGGCTTCAAAATGGGAGCGCGGAAGAAGACGACGACGACGAGGAGGAGGAGGAGGAGGAGAAGGAAGAGGAGAAGGAAGAGGAAGAAAGGCGCCGGCGGCCCTTTGCGCCCGCGCGTGCGCAGACGCTGACAGTCAACGAAGGGAAGCGCCTGAGATCGCGGAAGGGGGCGGGGCGTCATTCGGCGCGACACAAAGTTGCTCGCCCGCCTTTTTCCTCCGTCTTGACGCTCCCCTTCTCGCGGCCTGTCCTCGCGCGTGCGTACTCTGCTCGTGACCCCTCCCCTCCACGGCACCCACCGTCGTCGTCCGCGTCCTCCGCCTCCTCCTCCTCCTCCTCCTCCTCCTGCTCCTGTCAGGGGCCACCTGAGGGAGCCGCTCTCTCCTCCCCCA